AAAGAAAACTGTCCAAGATTTATGCTTAGTGAAGCAGAAGCGGCTTTAAGAGCCTGTCAACAGCGATGTGCAGTGACGGTGTAACCAGTGAGGTTTATCTGAGGTACGACCATTGCTCATTCAGAGTTTCTCCCAGCACCCGACTGCATTGTAGTTGGCAGAGGCCAACAGTCAATGGAGGCAATAATTCCGGCCCAATAAAGATGCATTTTTTTTTCATTAAAAATGTGCCCATTATGAGCGTGCTTTGCAACAGAAAAGTTTGTGCACATGCCTGTGTGTGTGAGCAAAGTGATCACTGCAAGCTGGGTAAGGTGGCTTATGCCTGTTATTCCAACACTTGGGAGGTTAGCAAGTTTCGGGACAGCCTGGGCTACTGAATAAGACCCTGTTTCAAAACTCACAACGCACAAAAAACAAAAGTGAGCACTCCCGTCTAATAAGTAAAAACCCTGAAAAGCTGAAAAGACTGACAGACATCTGAGAAAGAAATGAGGTCATCACAGGGCAAGCTGCCGTCACCAGCATTGGAGAGATGGAAAGGCAGATACAGAAAATCACAACTTAACAGAGCAGAAACCAGCGGGCCCCAGGGCTGGGAGAGGGAAACGTGAGCTGTCACTGAGGAACTGCTGGAGGCTCAGTGAGAGAGAAAGCTCCCAGGGGCCAGGACAGGATGCTACCTTCTTTTGTGTCTTCCTGCTGCCAGGGGAGGGTAAAACAATCATTTAAAATGAGCCAGAGCACGCTTCCTAATAAGGTCTACCAGAGCTTAGACCGCCTGAGGGAGGGGGTCCCAAACCGTAGTTTCCTCCAGTTTCCAGACCCATCTAGGTAGAGAAACAAAACCAAACCAAACACCGGGAAGCACTGAGTTCATAGTTCAGGGGTGCAGGCTCAACAAAGACAGGTCCGTGGAGGGCTTCCCCCCTTACGTGACCACCCCAATGCCACAGGCATCTCCCCGGGAATTTCTTTCACTTGCCACATCATGTCTGCACACTGACCAAAAGAAATTACAGGCACTTCAAGAGGTCAGACCGCTGTTTGAAGAGACTCATGCCTGGGACGTGGCAGGGGTAGGCGCTGTAGGCCGGAAGTCAATCTGCTCTTTCTCCTTCATCTTAATTTCTGTTTGTTTTCTCGAGACAGGATCTTACATTGCTCAGGATGGCCTCAAGCTCCCTACGTAGCTGAAACTGGCCTTGAACTCCTGATCTTCCTGCCTACACTGACTAAAGCAGTGGTTCTCAACCTGTGGGTCATGACCCCCTGGGGGTTGAATGACCTTTTCACAGGGGTCACCTAAGACAATTGGAGAACACAGATGTTTACATTATAATTCATAACAGTAGCAAAGTTACAGTTATGATGTAGCCACGAAATAATTCTTTGGTTGGGGGGGGTCCCAGAACAGGAGGAACAGGCTAGGACGGTTGAGAGCCACTGTACCAAAAGCTAGAATCACAGGTATGTGCTGCTGTACTGGTCTCTCTTCCCTCTCCTTCCCTCTCCCCCCACTGCTGGAACTCATGACCCTCAGCCTCTTGAAAGCTTAGATTACAGATGAGTGCCACCAGGTCCAGCTCAGACCGCAAAGTTAAAACAACTAGGATTATTGTTAGGGTTTTGCGGTGATCGGAGACCCTGTCTCAAAATAAAGAATAACTAATGGAGAAGAATACATGTCTGCTACTTGTCCATGACCCCTTAACCCTTCCATCTTTGTGTCTCTAGAGCCAACACATGGACAACATCGCCACCTTCAACTTCTAGCTGGGGTTGGACCCCCATCTAGCTGGGGTTTGAACCACATTAGCAGTAGCTGTTGGAAGGATTATGTCCTTAATTATGTCACCAGCCTGTGGACGGCATCCCATCCTAAAAAGCGGGTGTGCCCTCTGTGCGTTCTCTTCCTTTCTGCACTCTCTCCTTCTGTTCTCCCCCTCCATGCGGTCCTTTCTCTCCCTCTCTGTCCCAGTAAAGCTCTAGAAAGGTAACTATGGCTCATGATTCTTCTGCCAACCAGCATTCTCCTCCATTGGCATGGCTGCCACCTGTGGCGGCCAGCCGCTAGCGCCGCCACTTAACCAACATTTGGTGC